ATCTCCATGTATAATACATAAGGGGGGATATGATCTCCATGTATAATACATGGGGGGATATGATCTCCATGTATAATACATAAGGGGGGGATATGATCTCCATGTATAATACATAAGGGGGGGATATGATCTCCATGTATAATACATAAGGGGGGGGATATGATCTCCATGTATAATACATAAGGGGGATATGATCTCCATGTATAATACATAAGGGGGGATATGATCTCCATGTATAATACATAAGGGGGGGGTATGATTCTCCATGTATAATACATAAGGGGGGATATGATCTCCATGTATAATACATAAGGGGGGATATGATCACCATGATAATACCATGTATATGATCTCCATGTATAATACATAAGGGGGATATGATGATCTCCATGTATAATAATAAGGGGGGATATGATCTCCATGTATAATACATAAGGGGGATATGATCTCCATGTATAATACATAAGGGGGGATATGATCTCCATGTATAATACATAAGGGGGGATATGATCTCCATGTATAATACATAAGGGGGGGATATGATCTCCATGTATAATACATAAGGGGGGGATATGATCTCCATGTATAATACATAAGGGGGGATATGATCTCCATGTATAATACATAAGGGGGGGATATGATCTCCATGTATAATACATAAGGGGGGGATATGATCTCCATGTATAATATACATAAGGGGGGATATGATCTCCATGTATAATACATAAGGGGGGATATGATCTCCATGTATAATACATAAGGGGGGGATATGATCTCCATGTATAATACATAAGGGGGGATATGATCTCCATGTATAATAACATAAGGGGGGATATGATCTCCATGTATAATACATAAGGGGGGATATGATCTCCATGTATAATACATAAGGGGGGATATGATCTCCATGTATAATACATAAGGGGGGATATGATCTCCATGTATAATACATAAGGGGGATATGATCTCCATGTATAATACATAAGGGGGATATGATCTCCATGTATAATACATAAGGGGGGGATATGATCTCCATGTATAATACATATAGGGGGGATATGATCTCCATGTATAATACATAAGGGGGGATATGATCTCCAAGCATAATACATAAGGGGGGGGGGGGATATGATTCCATATATAATACATAAAGGGGGATATGATCTCCATGTATAATACATGATATCTCCATGTATAATACATAAGGGGGGATATGATCTCCATGTATAATACATAAGGGGGGATATGATCTCCATGTATAATACATAAGGGGGGGGATAGGGGGGATATGATCTCCATGTATAATACATAAGGGGGGGATATGATCTCCATGTATAATACATAAGGGGGGGATATGATCTCCATGTATGTATAATACATAAGGGGGGATATGATCTCCATGTATAATACATAAGGGGGGATATGATCTCCATGTATAATACATAAGGGGGGGGGGATATGATCTCCATGTATAATACATAAGGGGGGATATGATCTCCATGTATAAGGGGGGAATACATAAGGGGGGATATGATCTCCATGTATAATACATAAGGGGGGATATGATCTCCATGTATAATACATACATAAGGGGGGATATGATCTCCATGTATAATACATAAGGGGGGATATGATCTCCATGTATAATACATAAGGGGGGATATGATCTCCATGTATAATACATAAGGGGGGATATGATCTCCATGTATAATACATATAGGGGGGGGATATGATCTCCATGTATAATACATAAGGGGGGATATGATCTCCATGTATAATACATAAGGGGGGGATATGATCACCATGTATAATACATAAGGGGGGATATGATCTCCATGTATAATACATAAGGGGGGATATGATCTCCATGATACATAAGGGGGGATATGATCTCCATGTATAATACATACATAAGGGGGGATATGATCTCCATGTATAATACATAAGGGGGGATTATGATCTCCATGTATAATACATAAGGGGGGATATGATCTCCATGTATAATACATAAGGGGGGGATATGATCTCCATGTATAATACATAAGGGGGGATATGATCTCCATGTATAATACATAAGGGGGGATATGATGATCACCATGTATAATACATAAGGGGGGATATGATCTCCATGTGTATAATACATAAGGGGGGATATGATCTCCATGTATAATACATAAGGGGGGATATGATCTCCATGTATAATACATAAGGGGGGGATATGATCTCCATGTATAATACATAAGGGGGGATATGATCTCCATGTATAATACATAAGGGGGGATATGATATGATACATCCATGTATAATAACATAAGGGGGATATGATCTCCATGTATATATATACATAAGGGGGGATATGATCTCCATGTATAATACATAAGGGGGATATGATCTCCATGTTTAATACATAAGGGGGATATGATCTCCATGTATAATACATAAGGGGGGATATGATCTCCATGTATAATACATAAGGGGGGGGATATGATCTCCATGTATAATAAATTAGGGGGGATATGATCTCCATGTATAATACATTTAAGGGGGGGATATGATCTCCATGTATAATACATAAGGGGGGATATGATCTCCATGTATAATACATAAGGGGGGATATGATCTCCATGTATAATACATCAGTGGTGCAGCATATAGTGAACTCGGTTGTAGTTATTCCCCTGAGGTCATCACAGAGGACAAGGGGGCGCTCTTTTACATCTGGAGGAAAAGAAATGTAATCTCCAAACACGGAAAGGTTTCTTCACAGTAAGAGCTGTGAGAATGTGGAATAGACTCCCTCCAGAGTTGGTTGTGGCCAGCTCAGTGGATTGCTGTAGTAAAGTCCTGGATCCTTTGTTGGATATACAGAATTATAACTGGATATAACATTTATAGGGAACGTTTTGATCCAGGGAATATCCGATTTGCCTCTCGGTTGATCAGGAAGGAATGTTTTCCCTGCAGGAGCAGATTGGATCGTGCTTTGCTGGGTTTTTTTTGCCTTCCTCTGGATCAACTGTGGCTGTAGGATTATAACTTTTTTTTTTAATGGTTGAACTGGATGGACTTTTGTCTTATTTCATCCAAACTAACTATGTAGTTCAGGCATATAGCAGGAGGGTGTGCTTAGCTTGGAAAACTACTCCTCCCCTCCAGAAGACTCCTAGGATGTATTACATCATTTGCCTAGGCAAGAAACCAGGAAGCAGAGGCTTAGCTTGAAGCTTAGGGGCCCCAGAGCAAGAATTGACCTGGGGACCACCCACTGCTCCCACTTCATGCCAAGATACTCCAAGAGGCCAAAAAGTTATTTTAGATCTTACATTTACATATTGAGAGCAAATTGTGTTAGGGGATTTTTTAGTAACTTCTGCAGATTTTTTGTCTGTCTAAATAGGGGGGCGGGGGGACAGTGCAGTCAGTGTTGTGTTGTGGGATGAACAGGGTGGGGAACATTCCTGGGCAGCCCTGCACTGACCAAAGGGGTGTATTTCTTATCTTAACAGTGACACTGTCCCTACTCCTGGGGGGGTGCTCTCATCCTCCTCCCTCACTCAGCCCCGTGATAGCTCGGTGTCCCTATCGTCTCCCCATATGTCAGCAGTGAGATTTTCCTTGCTCCCTCCACTAGCTCCTCTCTGGCTCAGAATTCACAAATGCCACCTAAACTTCAGAGCTTCTCCCAGCCAATGAGAGCAGAGGAGTATGGATTGGAATGCGATAGGCATATGACAGGGAGGCGTGAGGGCTCCTTGGAACATGGGAGAGGTCGCAATTGCTACCCCTGAAAACATTATTCTCACTCCCATGCCAGGAAGTAACTAAAGAAAGCTAAAAAAAAATATTTTAAATATGATATACACATGGCATCCCAGTCTTAGCCCGTAGGGTTCAATATTGAGTTGGCCCCGCCCTTTCGACGCACATGACCTTTAATGGCCCCCCAGTCTTTGTCCGTAGGGCTCAACATTGAGTTGGCCGCCCTTTGCAGCTATAACAGCTTCAACTCTTCTGGGAAGGCCGTCCACAAGGTTTAGGAGGGTGTCTATGGGAAGGTTGGACCATTCTTCAGAAGCACATTTGTCAGGTCAGGCACTGATGTCGGGGGAGAGGCTGGCTCGCAGTCTCCACTCTAATTCATCCCAAAGGTGTTCTATGGGGTTGAGGTCAGGACTCTGTGCAGGACAGTCAAGTTCCTCCACCCCAAACTGGCTCCTCCATGTCTTTATGGACCTTGCTTTGTGCACTGGTGCGCAGTCATGTTAGAACAGGAAGGGGACATCCCCAAACTGTTTCCACAAAGTTTGGGAGCATGAAAATTGCCCAAAATGTCTTGGTATGCTGACGCCTTAAGAGTTCCTTCACTGGAACTAAGGGGCCAAGCCCAACCCCTGAAAAATAAATCTACCATAATCCCCCTTCCACCAAACTTTACACTTGGCACATTGCAGTCAGGCAAGTACTGTTCTCCTGGCAACCACCAAACCCAGACACATCCATCGGATTGCCAGACAGAGAAGAGTGATTGGTCACTCCAGAGAACACATCGCCACTGCACTAGAGTCCAGTGGCGGCGTGCTTTACACCACGGCATCCGACGCTTTGCATTGCACTTGGTGGTGGAAGGCTTTGATGCAGCTGCTCGGCCATGGAAACCCATTCCATGAAGCTCTCTACGCACTGTTGTTGGGCTCATCTGAAGGCCACACCAAGTTTTGGAGGTCTTTAGCTATTGACTCTGCAGACAGTTGGCGACTTCTGCGCACTGTGTGCTTCAGCATGCGCTAATCCCGCCCCGTCATGTGACATGGCCTACCACTTGGTGGCTGAGTGGCTGTTGTTCCCAGTTGCTTCCACTTTTTGTTATAATCTCACTAACAGTTGAGCGTGGAATATTTAGTAGCCAGGAAATGTCACGGATGGACTTATTGCCCAGGTGGCCACCTATCACGGGACCACGCTTGGAGTCACTGAGCTCCTGAGAGCGACCCATTCTTTCACCAATGTTTGTAGAAGCAGTCTGCATGTCTAGGGGATGGATTGTATACACCTGTGTCCATGGAGGGGATTGGAACACCTGAATCACATGATTTGGAGGGGATTGGAACACCTGAATCACATGATTTGGAGGGGATTGGAACACCTGAATCACATGATTTGGAGGGGATTGGAACACCTGAGTCACATGATTTGGAGGGGATTGGAACACCTGAGTCACATGATTGGGAGGGGATTGGAACGCCTGAATCCAATGATTTGGGAGGGTGGGGACGATACTTTTGGCAATATAGTGTAAGTTTGTCAGTAGCGCAAATTTAAATTCCACAGGATTTGCCTCTAACCTGAGATAGAACCTGAACCTTACCCTGGCGATATCGGTGGAGTAATTGGAGGTGAAAGTCATAGACATTCTATTCTGCTATTTAGCTAGCTTGGGCTTGTCTCCGACGCAGAGGTTCCTCCATCTCACCTAACAAATGTGTTTAGCACTTCTGCAAATATAAACGGGACAATTAACAAAGCTTTAAAAACCTAATTTGCTTTTTTTTTTAGCAGAGAAAGTGGTTTAGTTCTGAAAGCTGCCTAAAGGAAAATGAGTCAGAACATATCCACATATAATGAAATAGAAACTCAGTATTTAACATTGCTACGGCATTTCATCTGCAATACATCTGTACAGTGAAGTGTAAGGATGAGCAGAGACATTTCAGCAAATTGATTTTATTAGTAAAGGCAAGATAGAGGGGTCCTGTTACTGGTAGGGGCAGGTTAGAAGGGACCAGTCACCAGGTAGGGGCGGGATAGAAGGGCAATAACCTGGTAGTGGCAGGTTAGAAGGGACCAGTAACCCGAGGCGGGGAAAGATAGAAGGGTCCAGTCACCTGGTAGGGGCAGAATTGAAGATCTTGTACGCTTGTAGGAGCAGGATAGAAGAGTTTGATCATCACCTAGTAGGGGGAGGATAGAAGGGTCCTGTCACCTGGTAGGGACAGGATTGAAAGGTTTGATCACCTGGTAGGGTCAGGATAGAAGCGCGCAATCACCTGGTAGGGGCAGGATAGAAGGGTCCGGGTAACCAAGTAAGGGCAGATTAGAAGGTCCCTGTCACCTGGGTAGGGGAAGAATTGAAGATCTTGTCAACTTGTAGGAGCAGGATAGAAGGGTTTGAGCACACCTAGTAGGGGGAGGATAGAAGGGTCCTGTCACCTGGTAGGGGCAGAATTGAAGATCTTGTACGCTTGTAGGAGCAGGATAGAATAGTTTGATCATCACCTAGTAGGGGGAGGATAGAAGGGTCCTGTCACCTGGTAGGGACAGGATTGAAAGGTTTGATCACCTGGTAGGGTCAGGATAGAAGCGCAATCACCTGGTAGGGGCAGATTAGACGGTCCTTGTCACCTGGTAGGGGAAGAATTGAAGATCTTGTCAACTTGTAGGAGCAGGATAGAAGAGTTTGATCACCTAGTAGGGGGAAGATAGAAGGGTCATGTCACATGGTAGGGACAGGATTGAAAGGTTTGACCACCTTGTAGGATCAGGGTAGAAGGGGCAGGATAGAAGAGTCCAATCACATGATAGGGGCAGAATTAAAGATCTTGTCAACTTGTAGGAGCAGGATTGAAGGGTTTGAGCACCTAGTAGGGGGAGGATAGAAGGGTCCTGTCACCTGGTAGGGACAGGATTGAAAGGTTTGATCACCTGGTAGGATCAGGATAGAAGTGCAATCACCTGGTAGGGGCAGGATAGAAGGGTCCGGTAACCAGGTAGGGGCAGATTAGAAGGTCACTGTCACCTGGTAGGGGAAGAATTAAAGATCTTGTCAACTTGTAGGAGCAGGATAGAAGGGTTTGAGCACCTAGTAGGGGGAGGATAGAAGGGTCCTGTCACCTGGTAGGGACAGGATTGAAAGGTTTGATCACCTGGTAGGGTCAGGATAGAAGCGCAATCACCTGGTAGGGGCAGGATAGAAGGGTCCGATAACCAGGTAGGGGCAGGATAGAAGGGCCCTGTCACCTGGTAGGGGCAGGATTAAAAGGTTTGATCACCTTGTAGGGTCAGGGTAGAAGGAGCAGGATAGAAGAGTCCAATCACCTGATAGGGGCAGAATTAAAGATCTTGTCAACTTGTAGGAGCAGGATAGAAAGGTTTGATCACCTGATAGGGGCAGGATAAAATAGTTTGATTGCCTAGTATAAGGGCAGGATAGAAAGATCTTATCACCTTTTATGAGTAGAAAAGAAGGGTCCTGTTGCTTGGTAAGGGTTACTTGTAAGAGCAGGATAGAAAGGTTTCATCACCAGGCAGAAGGATAGAAGAGTCCTCTCACCTGGTAGGGGCAGGATTAAAAGGTTTGATCACCAGGTAGGGGTAGGATAGAAGGGTCCTGTTACCTGCTAGGGGTAGAATAAGTGATCTTGTCAACTTTCAGGAACATGATATAAGGATTTGATCACCTGATAAGGGCAGGATAGAAGGGTCCTGTCACCTGGTAGGGGCATAATAGAAAATCTTGTCATCCTATAGGAGCAGGATAGAAGGGATTGATCACCTGGTAAGGGCAGAACAAAAGGGTCCTGTCACCTGGTAGGGGCAGGATAGAAGGGTCCTGTTACCTGGCAAAAGGCAGAATAAAAGATCTTGTCAAATTGTATGAAGGGTCCTGTTACCTGGTAGGGGCAGGATAGAAAGGTTTGATCACCTGGTAAGGTCAGGATAGAAGGGTCCAATCACCTGGTAGGGACAGAATTGAAGATCTTGTAAACTTGTAGGAGCAGAATAGAAGGGTTTGATCACCTGGTAGGAGCAGAATAGAAGGGTTTGATCACACTGGTAGGGGCAGAATAGATGGGTCCTGTTACCTGGTAAGGGTAAAATAGAAGCTCTTGTCAACTTGTAGGTGCAGGATAGGAAGATTTGATCACCAGGTAAGGGAGGATGGAAGGGTCATGTCACCTGGTAGGGGCAGGATTAAAAGGTTTGATTAAAAGGTTTGATCACCTGGTATGGCAGGATAGAAGGGTCTTGTCAGTATGGCAGGATAGAAGGGTCTTGTCGGTATGGCAGGAGGGAAGGGTCTTCTCGGTATGGCAGGATAGAAGGGTCTTGTCGGTATGGCAGGATAGAAGGGTCTTGTCGGTATGGGCAGGATAGAAAGGTCTTGTCGGTTATGGCAGGATAGAAGGGTCTTGTCGGTGTATGCAGGATAGAAAGGTCTTGTCGGGGTATGGCAGGATAGAAGGGTCTTGTCGGTATGGCAGGATAGAAGGGTCTTGTCAGTATGGCAGGATAGAAGGGTCTTGTCGGTATGGCAGGATAGATGGGTCTTGTCGGTATGGCAAGATAGAAGGGTCTTGTCGGTATGGCAGGATAGAAGGGTCTTGTCGGTATGGCAGGATAGAAGGGTCTTGTCAGTATGGCAGGATAGAAGGGTCTTGTCGGTATGGCAGGATAGAAGGGTCTTGTCAGTATGGCAGGATAGAAAGGTCTTGTCGGTATGGCAGGATAGAAAGGTATTTGTCGGTATGGCAGGATAGAAGGGTCTTGTCGGTATGGCAGGATAGAAGGGTCTTGTCAGTATGGCAGGATAGAAGGGTCTTGTCAGTATGGCAGGATAGAAGGGTCTTGTCAGTATGGCAGGATAGAAGGGTCTTGTCGGTATGGCAGGATAGAAGGGTCTTGTCAGTATGGCAGGATAGAAGGGTCTTGTCAGAATGGCAGGATAGATGGGTCTTGTCACCTGGTAAGGGTAGAATAAAAGATCTTTTTTTAACTTCTAAGAACAGGATAGAAGGGTTTGATCACCTGGTAGGGCAGGATAGAAGGGTCTTATCACCTTATAGGGGTAGGATAGAAGGGTCATGTTATCTGGTAAGGGTAGAATAAAGGATCTTGTCAACAAGTAGGAGGGTTTGATCACCTGGTAAGCGCAGGATAAAAGGGTCTTGTAACCAGGGTAGGGTAAAAGGGTCTTGTCACCTGGTAGGGGCAGGACAGAAGGGTCCTGTTACCTGGTAAGGGTAGAATAAAAGATCTTGTCAACTAGGTCCTGTTTCCTAGTAGGGGCAGGATAGAGAGATTTGATCACCTGGTAGGGTCAAGACAGTATTTCTCAATGGCTACAGGAATCCAGCCAGAGAGAAGGAAAAAATTATTGCTTTTATAGCCTTTATGGGTGTAAAAGCAATCAATGTACAAAAAAAAAAAAAATCATCATCACCCCCCACAAGTAGTACAGTGTCACCATGGTGACACTGTACTGCTAGGGTGACAGTATGTTAAAAAAAATCATAAATAATAATATAAAAAAATAAAATAAAAATGTAAAAAAAATTATAATTTTTGGTTATAAACTAATTTGGGTCTTTTTTTTTTCATTAAAAGGTAACAAAATAAATTTTGGACAATATTTATGAAGAAAGATTATTTATTTGCAAAATTTTAAAAGAAAAACACTTTTTAAAAATTTTTTTGGACTTATTCATTTATATAGCAAAAAAAATAAAAATCCCAGTGGTGAATAAATACCACCAAAATAAAGTTTTATCTGTCTGAAAAAAATGTGAAAAAATTCATATGGGGTACAGTGTTGCATGACCGCCGCAATTTGTCATTCAAAGTTTGATAGCAACTGAAAGCTGAAAATTGACTGGAAGGGGGGGAAAGCCTGGGGGGGAAGGGGAGGGAAGTGTCTGGACTGGAAGGGGGGGAAAGTGTCTGGAATGGAAGGGGGTGAAAGTGTCCGGACTGGAAGGGGGGGACAAGTGTCCGGACTGGGGGGGAAAGTGTCCGGACTGGAAGGGGGGAAAGTGTCCGGACTGGAAGGGGGGTGAAAGTGTCCGGAATGGAAGGGGGGTGAAAGTGTCCGGACTGGAAGGGGGGGGAAAGTGTCCGGACTGGAAGGGGGGAAAGTGTCCGGACTGGAAGGGGGGTGAAAGTGTCCGGAATGGAAGGGGGGGTGAAAGTGTCCGGAATGGAAGGGGGGTGAAAGTGTCCGGACTGGAAGGGGGGGAAAGTGTCCGGACTGGAAGGGGGTGAAAGTGTCCGGACTGGAAGGGGGTGAAAGTGTCTGGACTGGAAGGGGGGGTGAAAGTGTCCGGACTGGAAGGGGGGAAAGTGTCCGGACTGGAAGGGGGGAAAGTGTCCGGACTGGAAGGGGGGAAAGTGTCCGGACTGGAAGGGGGGAAAGTGTCCGGACTGGAAGGGGGTGAAAGTGTCCAGACTGGAAGGGGGTGAAAGTGTCCGGACTGGAAGGGGGGGAAAGTGTCCGGACTGGAAGGGGGGGAAAGTGTCCGGACTGGAAGGGGGAAAAGTGTACGGACTGGAAGGGGTGTGAAAGTGTCCGGACTGGAAGGGGGTGAAGTGTGTCCGGACTGGAAGGGGGTGAAGGTGTCCGGACTGGAAGGGGGTGAAGGTGTCCGGACTGGAAGGGGGTGAAGGTGTCCGGACTGGAAGGGGGGGGAGGTGTCCGGACTGGAAGGGGGGAAAGTGTCCGGACTGGAAGGGGGAGAAAGTGTCCGAACTGAAAGGGGGTGAAAGTGTCCGAACTGGAAGGGTGATTTGGGGGTTGAAAGTGTCCGAACTGGAAGGGGGATGAAAGTGTCCGGACTTGAAGTGGTTAAAGGATCGATCGGAAACAAAACACATTTTTTTCATTCTGTACATGTCTAGTGAGCGACAATTTTTTTCCCTTCGATTACACTCTACAACTCTGGCTGTGCTCAGGGGGCCCTCGCTATATCCAGGCTGTACATGTCAATGTAGAATAGACGCACACATGCTTAGGTCTCCTACAAGTGGAATACATGGTCTGAGACTACGGTATAATCTATATTTCATTAGACACTTTGCTTTTTAACAATTTATGACCCACTCACATGTTCCAGGAGCCGCTCGGACTGCGCCCTTGAGGTATTTTTGAGCAATAAACCGCCATTAATGGACGCGGATTTCTGGAGGAAAATGTTAATTGTCCTCTTAGAATATTAATGAGGGTCAGATGTAATAAATATTAACAGTTTCCGCATTTAATAATTTCATGGAAGATAGATCGGTTTTCATCCAACGTCATTGGGCCGCGTCAATCACGCCGTACTTGAACGTTGGCCTGGTTAAGCGCTAAGTGGGGGTTTTGTATTTTTAATGTATGCATTTCCTAAAGGGTTTACAGCGGATAATGAAATGTATGTTCTCTGGAAACGCAACGACCATGCTTAAATATGCAGGTGACTCCAAGGACGAGGGTGATTTCCAGGGGCTGAGGACAGGGTGGAACAGCCATTCATATGTTTTCTCTTGGTAGCCATTTTTATTCTACCTCTTCCATGTGCCAGGTCCCCTCTATCCTGCCTCTACTAGGTGACCAGACCTTTCTGCCGTACCAGGTGATAGGACTCTTATCCTGCCCCTACCGTATTATAGGGCCCCTCTATCCTGCCTCTACTAGGTGACCTGACCCTTCTGCCTTACCAGGTGATAGGACTTCCTATTCCTGCCCCTACCGTATTACAGGACCCCTTTAGGACTCCTATCCTGCCTCTTCCATGTGCCAGGACCCCTCTCTCCTGCCTCTACTAGGTGACCAGACCCTTTCTGCTGTACCAGGTGTGATAGGACTCTAATCCTGCCCCTACCGTATTTATAGGGCCCTTCTATCCTGCCTCTACTAGCAGATCAGACCCATTCTGCCGTGTACCAGGTGATAGGACTCTCGTATCCTGCCCCTACCGTATTATAGGCCCCTCTATCCTGCCTCTACTAGGTGACCTGACCCTTCTGCGTACCAGGTGATAGGACTCTTATCCTGCCCCTACCGTATTATAGGGCCCCTCTATCCTGCCTCTACTAGGTGACCAGACCCT